AAGCCGCCACTTGGGCCTGCCTCAGGCTTCCTTCCTTTAGATTCAGGACCCAGAGCGATGACGTTAAGAATCCCTCCTCCTCCGGTCCGCCCACCGAGGGGAAAGACTTCCCTCGGGTTGGCGCACTCGCGCCCATGAGACATCTTCAGGGCTCTCTCAGCCAACGCAGGCGAGGGCCGCGGCTTAAGAACATTCCTGCCCCCGACCTACTGATGAGGAATTACGACTATTGCCCACCTCAAACTTCAGCCGTGACCGCAGCACCAAGCGGCGAGGCCCGATCCTTCCCCTCTATGATGTCCAGGTATGCACAACGGTATGTGCACCCTGCCCGAAGCCAGAGCCCCGTCAGCCACAGGAGGGGTACTCCTGCGTTACCGACTCACACCACGAGGAGGTGGGGTTGGCACATGGGCCCGGTGGCCCTTCTGCGAGTCGTAAGCTGCGTGCCTCCATGCAGAGTCCGTTGATGAGCGTGAGCGATGATGATAACTGAGAGTGACGAGGCAATGATGCTGGGTGTTTCGCATCAAGTGAGAGGCTGCGTGAGCGAGTCGTCCGCCGACGCGTATGATGCCTTGAGCGTCGATGTACGCAGTTAATCGGTTGAATGCGTGTGCCTTTGCCAACGGTGAGTCTGCTTGTAGCGCCTTGAGCTCATGAGAGAAGTACGTTGCTTGAGTTGCCTGAATCCAGAAGACCCTCGCTTTCTCTAAGGTCTCTGGAGAGATGTGTCTGACAGGCAATGAGTCGTGGACCTTCCTCAACCGTGAGACGAATCTGAAACAGAGAGCTGTAATCCTCAATAGTTTAGTGAGGCTTGAGTACCTGTAGGTGAGTTCCCATTGATAATCAGTCCTTGGCGTAACCGTCAATAGCGAAACGTCTGGGCGAGCTTCGGTTGCATTCAACTCTTCAGAGAGTGCTGGTTGCGACGGCCATGAGTCTGGTTTGAGTATCCATGGTGGTCCCGTCCACCAAAGTGAGTGGTTTTGAAGTTGAGCAGTCGTGAGGCCTCGTGATGCGCAATCAGCCGGATTGGAAGTTCCATGTATGTATCTCCAGTGAGCAGCTGGAGTGAGTTCTTCAGTTTGAGCCACCCTGTCTCTGACAAAATCCTTCCAGCGTGATGCATGAGATCTGATCCATGAAAGTGTCACTAGAGATTCCGTTCACAGGTGAGTTGCCGTTACGTCCATGTTCAAAGTGGCTTTGACGTATTGCATGAGTCGAGAGAGCAGTAGAGCAGCCGTGAGTTCAAGTCGCGGGATTGAGAGCCGCTTGAGAGGTGCTACCTTAGTTTTGGAGCACACAAGTGAAATCGTGGCGCCGTTTGAGTCGTGAACGGAGATGTATACGATTGCAGTCATTGTTAATTGAGAAGCGTCAGAGAAGCCTTGCAGTTCCACAGAAGAGGTGCTCCAAGTGTTGAACCATCTAGGTATCGAAAGCTTGGCCAAGCCTATGAGTTCTTCTCTGCGGATGAGCCACCGAGTTGAGAGCTGGGATGTCAGTGGGTCATCCCATTGGAGCTTGTGCCACCACAGCTCCTGCAAGAGAATTTTGGCCTTGATCACGACGGGAGATGCAAAACCAAATGGATCGAGAATCTGAGCCACTTCAGATAAGACGAGGCGTTTTGTGCGTCTGTCTTCAGTGTGTGAGTTCCGTGGAGAGTCGAACCGGAGACGCCGTCCGCGAGGATGAGCGCTCTCCCGGCGGCAATTCCAGAAGCTGAGTCACCGGGCGGTCCGCTCCGCCCGCCTTCTGATCGTCCGACACGGTGAGATGACACGTGAGAGAGACGTGGTATCACATCGATCATGTGATCGATGAGTGTTACTGTGTATATGAGCGCCGTTGATCACGTGAGCGATGCGTGGCTAAGCTGACCCGTTCGAGAGCCCCGCCGCAATCCGGCTCGAAGGACCAAAAAATGTTAGCGATTCTCGCTAGGAGAGTTCGCTGGTACCGCTGCGGTTGGAAGCAGGGTGAGAGGACGTAGCGACAAGAGGCTCAAGGAAAGCTTGCACGCGTGAGAGGGTGGAAAATCACGTGATCTGAGAACTCTGATCGTTTGAGTTAAAACTACCGTATCACAGTTTAATGTTGCAATGTGCTTACATATGAGAAGTCTGTGCAAGTAAAATTCTTATGAGAAGTCTATATTCATGTGCACGGGTCGATATTATTGATCGATGGCCGGCCTGGTGAAGGTGATGCCCGTGAGCCGTGTCCACGCGGCGCCGGCGTGCGCGATGCGTGTTGAGCTTGAGCTGCCGGTGATGCTGTACTCGAGCTGTCCGGGATGAGCCGCACTGATGAGAGTTCACTGTGTCTTTCACTGAGTCTATTCTCGGATGAGCAGGTGAGAAAGTCCACAAAAGAGCACTCGAAAGACTAGTTGCATTTCAAGACGCGTGTGCTGCGTACCGTTCCCATGAGACAATAGGGATCCGGAACGCGCGTGTAGTAGCGCCGTCGCCTCGTGTCGCGATCGGGCATGCGCGGGCAGCGCTCATGCGGCGCTGCACGATCTGACCCAGCTGATGCTGCCATCACTCCGGGGATGATCTGAACGATCTTCAAATTAATCTCAAACACACCGTCTTGTTGGAATCATCATGAAGAATTCTCCTCACAGAACGATCGGAAAATCCAAGGGCAGACGCATGTTTGCGCGCAGAACGCCGTGGTGATCGCAATATTGAAGCTCTCACTGCCTCAATGTTCTCAGGTGATCTAATGGGCCAAGGGACTCCAGCTCTTCGTCTTGTCGCACTTGCAGTTTGTCTAAAGGCAAACGCACGCTCTTCACTGTTCCAACTAGAGCTGTTACTTTCCATAACTTCGAAG